CTTTGGTAATCTTGATATAACTGAACGTGTACCACTTAAATGTTGTAAGTTTATTTAAAGATTAAAAATTCAGCCCTAAACTATATGATACACATGTATAAGAAACTGTTTTTACACCACTATCTTTAAATATTGAAAAGAAGATTATCGCATTTTGGTCAAGAATATGTATTGTGAATCCAGATATATTACCAAATAAAGTATCTTCAGCCGTTTACAGAAATATAGCAAGTATAGCTAAAACATTAGGCAATGAATCATTTAAAAGAAAATACCATTGGCATTATAATATTAAAAAAATCAAATGTGGAATGACAGATATATGAACGAACCATCACTTCCAAAACAGTAAATGGCTAAAACTATCAGATATTTACTGTTATATAAAACTTATTTACGATTTCGCATTCGTCAATAGAAAACGGAACCTTGAACATGGGCAAAATTCATTAAATGATAGACTATTTACCTTATGTAATAAATTAGGCGACGACGCTCAGAAATAGACGCAAGCGGTTCTTTTAGCCTTATTATTACAGATGACCAAATGTAATCAAAACATCTTATAACTAATAAGTACTAATAATAAATAGTAACGTCTAAGCTAGGTAAATATGTTAAGTGTATACCTAGTAGAATTAAAGTGTTGCTAAGTCTCTTTTTCGTTTTGTGAGAACCGGTGGCACAAAACTTTACTATCTCGCATTTTTATCGGACCGCATAATCAATTAGTTTTTCGCGCATGTTTAATTAAACTGAATTGGCCCGTTTGAATAAACAAGTCTTTGAATGATGGGATAATGTTGAGTTGTGGTCGCTTCTGGGTTACATTTGTTATCTTTAGACTTATTATGATCATAAAGAAATGTATTTTAATCTTTCTGAATGGTGCGGGATTTTTGCCTTTTTTCGGGGTGTGGGGGATACATTTTTAAAAGGTAAAATGGGCCGAATATCGCTGGATTTTTTTTGGCTAAAAGCATTTAGCACCATAATGCTTTAATTTGACATTCTTAGAGTCAAAAGGCCTGAAAATGTATGATATAAGATTCTTGCATAGATCAAGTTATGCACTTCAAATGGCAAAAATGTAAAAAAAAAAGTTGTTTTAGGATTTTTAATGCGGTTTTAGAGACAAGCGAGCCACCCTTTTCATTATTTAACAATAAAAATAATTATTCCAGGAAACCAGGAAAACGGCGTGATGGAGTGGTCATTGACCTTGATAAAATCGTATACAAATCTCGGAAACATATTTCTAATCTCTTCACGTCAGTTTCTTTTACTATATTGATATAATCAGATATCTACAAAAAGAAAGATTAAGTGGTGATTTTCGTTTAAAATAAACATTTATTGAATTTACTTAATTGGATAAGAAATTTTAATTTATAACATGTTTGCTCTTCACAAGCATTGAAACACATATACACTTATATTAACATCTCTGACAGGGTGACAAAGTGAAGTTTTAACAATAAATCTAAAACAAAAATGGCAGAGACCTATCACAGGTCTTTAGAATATTAAATATTTAGAAGATTCTTGTAATAGTTTTCTTTTATCTATCTTCAATGTTGTCACCTACTTGATCAATTTTAAATATCTAAATTTGGGTAATAATGATGCATAAGTAAGACCATTTGAGCTTTTAATTCATAGACGTATAGCAGTAAATATCAATTCAGCCATTGTGAATTAGATGTAAAGAGATATAACGGTCAAACCATAATATGGACATAACATTTCTTTCCACAAAAAATAGGTAAAAGATGACAACGACTGACGACGAAAGGCATTGTAGAATATACTTAATGTTGAAGAATGGAGGGACAAAAATAAGTAAAGCACTATTTGAGAAATGTGTGAAAGATCAGACACCAGAAGATCATATTCCGCATCCTTGGAACCTAGACCACTTCCTTAATGAGAACAAGAACAAAATTTTGGGCACTAAGACAGGGAAATCCAAGGAAAAAATCCTTTTTCCCGGAGGAGTTGCAAGTACACAAGTTGAACAATGGGACCTATATATGTACTGTTTCTTTCTCATTGAAATATGTGGCGTAAAACGCGAAGTGCGAATGGATATTGCGCAACTTCGAAAGATGAGAAATAAAATGTGTCATTCAAATGAGTCAACGATTGATATTGAAAAGTACGGCCGAAAAGTTGATAAAATCGAAGTCATTTATGAAAGACTTTTAAAGGCAATTTGTGATGATGAGCTTACAACTGAAGTGAATAGAATTTTAGAATCATCAAAAGAAGATCCTCTTTCTTGCAAGGAAATTATTTTTTACATGCATGAATTTTATAAGACAGATTTAGAAACTCGAGAAATATTGACTCAACAAAGCGCAGGTAAAAAGTATTTATATGCAAAAGCAATGATTTTTTAAGTAAATACTTGTTTTATGTATATACATTTCTTAAACGCTTGAATTTTTATGTTATAATTTTTATAACTTCCACCTTATTCACTCAACTGAAATAAATATTTATTGAACTAAAATTTTGTCCATTTTGATAGATAATCAACTATTTGTTTAAAATTTTGTCAATTTTGATAAATAATCAACTATTTGTTTAAAATTTTGTCCATTTTGATAAATAATCAACTATTTGTTTTCCTTCCATCGTTCGGATCCTACAATTTCAGATATCAAAACTTTGATCCAGGAAGTAAGAGAACTCAAAATGAAGCTTAATCGGGAGTCTACTGATTCTGTGGCCGAGGATCTTACAAGTAATATATGAAAATTTGGTGATACGATATTTTTTTTAAAAGTACCATGTACTATTATTATAATTATAATTATTATTATTATTATTATAATTATTATTATTATTATTTTTATTATTATAATTACAAAATGTACTGTATTATTAACTGACATTATGTTTCATGCTTATTAATATCATGTCTGATAACAAGAAAAGAGATATGATAAATGAATGATCATAATAACATATAAGTTCTCAAAGCGATTTGAACAAAACATGCAGTATTGTTTCTCTTTAATCAAATAAATAAAACCGACACATCTGGAAAATTCGATCTGGAAAGTTCGTGCTTTTTAGTGATCCAATTTCCAGTTTTCTTTAACACATAAATGATAAACTGTAAATTTGTCTGCTTTATTTAAAGTAAAATTTTATTCAGTACATTTTATCAATCGTTTCAGCAATATACATTTAATGTTATTGTTGTCTTTTAGAAACCTGTATGGAGCTTCAAATAAAGAATTGTTCTTGGCATACGGAAAGATTTGTTTCAAATGTTATTGCTGGCTTGTACAAAACGGAAACAGGCCAATCTTCATGTGAACAGTTGGAACAAATATCTGAACAAGAACGTGCTGAATTGGTGGCTGCTGTTCAAGACACAATAGCTCGATTTGCGTTAAAGAAACGGACTATTACTGATGCTGAACCAAGATGTGTTGTTTTGCTGGTACAATGTTCTTCTGTTTCTTCGTTACTGACATTATTTCATGACTGCATAAACGGGGATCTCACTAAAGAATTCAAAAAATTAGAGTCAGCAATAAGACATATTACAGGATTAGAGGAAGTTTCTATTGAAGCTGTTATATACAAGGACGAGTTCTATAGGACAATGCAAAGGACAGGTATATTTAAAAAGAGTTATAGACAAAACTCATACGAGGTAGGATTAGCATGAGGTCTAATAAGAATTCTAAGTGTCCAAATGTCTTTGATATGTAAGCAGTGTGATACATTTTAATGGTTGTACTTTCAAATTCAAAGACACATTTCTTGCCAGAGTTTTACAGCTTAACAAATATTGAATGCTGACAATATAAAATCCCTTAATAGAACCGGAATAGCTTTTGTGTGTACCACAGTTACTGTTACTAACTAACTGACTTTTAGATATTAAAAATGAGTAACGAGCATTCACAAATGTGATAATTGTGTGATAGATTTCTTTTCTAATGAAAGTTTCAACCATTTGAAAATGATTTTATTTTCGTTTTAACAGATTGTTGAATTGAAAAGATAAGTTATGAGTATTTTGCGAATACTTTTCTTCTTTGAAGGGTTTTGAAAGTACTATTAACTAGACAACTGACATCAAAATGATGAAAAAATATGCAAATAATTTTTTACTGATTCCTACAACTTTCTGTGGTAGTCACTAATTTTAGATCACCTCAACGCTATGAAGTGATATTTCTTGATATCAGAATACGCGGTGCCCGTCATGATCATTCATCGTATAAAAGTTTTATAAATTATGTTTTCCATTAAAATTTATCGCACCCTTCACGTCACATAGTATATGTCCACTTATATGAGAACACGCATTTTATTCCTATTCATTAGAAATAACACGACACATAGATTTAGTTCAAATATTTAGCATATATACTTGGCCTTGTAAACATCTACAAAAGTTATATATACATATGAGCCGCGTCACGACAACACCAACATAATGGGTTTGCGGCCAGCATGGATCCAGACCAGCCTGCGCATCCGCGCAGTCTGATCAGGATCCATGCTGTTCGCTTACAAAACCTATAGCAAGTAGTGAAACTGATAGCGAACAGCATGGATCCTGGTCAGACTGCGCGGATGCGCAGGCTGGTCTGGATCCATGCTGGTCACAAACCCATTATGTTGGTTTTGTCGTGACGCGGCTCATATATATAAATTGCTTATTTCAAAAATGACAACGCCTCGGAAGGCTATCAATTTTAATAAATATGAATTAATGATTGATGTATTAACGACTCTTGGTTTCGTTTTGTAAATTTTTGACATTTTAAAAATAAGTTTATACTTTTAACCATGCTAACAGAAGGAAAGACATTTTTCTTTTTACTTGGTATTTTATAATAGTTTCAGTTCTTGATGAGTCTGTTACCAAGACATATGGTATGCATCTACAAAATATACAGACACAGAATACTTACGGTATCACAGATGTCCGTTTAGTTGAAAGGCTGTTACCTAATTCTGACGACGAAAGGCAATCACAACACGCTGTTCGTATAACAATTAAAACAGATGCTGACAGAAAAATGCAACTTAGGGACTCGATAAAATCTGGTTCCTTTGACAGCAGTATATGTCGATTGAAAGAAGAAATATGTAAACATTACAAACTTTCTAATTTGTCAATAGAAGCAAAACTTTTAGAGGAAGGATGTGGTTTATGTGAAGGTAGTATGTTACCTTTTTTTTAGTTTTATGATTGTTATTTTTTTTGTTTTTTTTTGGGTTTTACGTCACATCGACACAGTATAGGTCATATCGCGACGTTCCAGCTTTACTGGTGAAGGAAGACTTCAGGTGCCCTTCCGTGCATTATTGCAGGCACGAACGGGCACCTGAGTAGAACCACCGACGTTCCGTAAGCTAGCTGGATAGCTTCCTCACATGAAAGAATCCAAAGTACCTGTCGGGATTCGAACCCACAGCGGTGAGGGGCAAGTGGTTTGAAGTCAACGACCTTAACCACTCGGCCACGGACGCCCCTTTTTATGATTGTGATTCTTTGAATTTTAGATACTGTCAAATTGTTTCAAACCAATTCTTTATAGCCCATTAAGTAAGTTAATTATTATTAATGTCATTTCATAACTCTAAGCTATCAGTGTGTTACAGACTTTTCAACATAGATAGAAAAAAGTCAACCGAAAACTATTAATGATGAATTAAGTTGTTCAAATCGTTTTGTTGAAGATGATCATACCTATGAAGAGAAAAGTCATAGAGTTGAAGCCGATCATAGAGTTGAAGACGATCATAGAGTTGGAGACGATCATACCGTTGAAGACGATCATAGAGTTGAAGACGATCATACCGTTGAAGACGATCATAGAGTTGGAGACGATCATACCGTTGAAGACGATGATACAGCTGGAGACGATCATACCGTTGAAGACGATCATAAAGTTGGAGCAGATCATACCGTTGAAGACGATCATAGAGTTGAAGACGATCATACAGTTGAAGACGATCATAGAGTTGGAGACGATCATATCGTTAAAGACGATGATACAGCTGGAGACGATCATACCGTTGAAGACGATCATAAAGTTAGAGCCGATCATACCGTTGAAGACGATCATAGCATTGAAGACGATCATAGCACTGAAGACGATCATAGAGTTGGAGACGATCATAGATTTGGAGATGATCTAACCGTTGAAGACGATCATAGAGTTGGAGACTATCATAGAATTGGAAACGTTTATATAGTTAAAGATGCTTACAGAGTTGAAGACGATCATAGGGTTGGAGACGATCATAGAGGTGGAGTCGATCATATAGCTGAAGTGGATTATATTGTTGAAGAATTTTACACTTTTGAAGCCGATCATATTCTTGACGAAGTTAATACCATTGAAGACAGACACATCGTTGGAGACCGTCATATCTTTGAAGGTGACCGTACTCTTGTTGAAGATAAAGACGATTTATCTAATCACTGGAATATAAAACAAGATGAAGACCGTTTATCCAATGTGAGTAAAGTAAATATATGTCATTTGTAATTAACGATTTTTACTTTCATTATTTATCTTGCATGGCCATTTTATCCATAAAATGTTTTCACAAATAACAATTACCGGAGTAGAATGAAATTCTTTTTTCTTTTCGTGAAACCTTTTCTACAACAAAATCTTAGTCACAAAATAATTTCAAGTTGATATTCATTCGTTTTAATTTAAGAATGTTAAAATATTTGACAACAATTTAGTATATTACCATGGAAAAGAACCTAGATCTACTAAACATTAAAACAGCTCTACACTATAAGCACTTATTCAGTACTATAAGGTTTTTTTTACCAATGATTAAGCAAAACGAAACAAATTTTAATTGGATGAAGTACGAGTAACTTGTGATGTTACGACACATGCACACGCATACACGCACGCACGCACACACGCACACACATACACAAATAAATAATAATAATAACAATAAATTTAATTTTTTTATTGTACTGTATTGTAAGTTTACGGTTAAAAGTTTCTATTAAAATTAAAAGGGCCTTAACTTTTCATGCCCATTTAATAAAACTAATCGGTAAAGATATGATACAAGGATAAAACCGACACCACACACGTCTCATCAATCGAGGACTTGCCTTAGTTTAATGAAATTCGACGACAAATATTACAACCAAATGCAAGTGAAAATAGTCTTCGTGAGTTTTTGTGACACTCTTACGTCCAGCATACGTCGTTTGTAGTAACCATTTTTACTTATTAAAATATTCAACATCTTCCCCTAAACCGTGATGAATTTATACAGGGTTGATCCTTGAATGGTCCTCTTAATAAATCATCGCGAGTATTTTATTGGTCAGAAATTGGCAGCCCCTGATAACCAAAATGTAAGTAGTATGGCGCAGGGTCCTGTTCCGCTTGTTTAATGTCCGATTTTAAAATTTATAACACCAATGGAAAGCTTTGGATCTGAGCTTTGTCACAGTATATACTTCAAGACATCTTTTGACACCAAAGTATTTAAATAAACTGTAAAAGCTACCATATAATTATCAGACCATTTTACATACGATTTATGCAGTTAGGTACGCAACCGGTTATCTTTACTCAAGAAATTACTGATAAGAATAGCCTAGCGTCGGCTGGTTCGGAATGTGTTTATCGGTGTATTGTTGTTATTGACCGTAACTTGGCAATTAATTAAAGTGGATTATCTTATTACTTTGACAAAACAAAAATTAGGACAAGACCTTCTAAAATGTTGAACTGGCCTTGAGCTTTAAATGACCTTGACCGTTAAGGTCAAATTATTGAATTTGGTTAATCTGTCATAATTTTGTACTTTATGTACGTATTTGATTTATACTAGGACAAAACAACGAACACATTGAATACTTTAGATATTATCTGACCTTTAACTGACCTTGACTATGACCGGAGCTATGAAATTTGGACCCTGTGCACAGTTTTAGATGTAAAACTTTAAATTAACTTTGCTATCAGCTAATATAGATAATTTGACAAAGAGACAAAGAGACATAATTTCTTGTCGCTATGTGTGGAGCTATGAAATTTGGACCCTGTGCACAGTTTTAGATGTAAAATTGAAGTTTGATATCAGCTGACCTAGATAAATTTGACAAAGTAAACTCCTTTCTTGTCCTTTGATGTACAGCTGTGGAATTTGGAATACGAGGTATGATAAAAAAGTTCTCGACTCGATAACATTCTAGCCACTACACTGACATTTACACACGATAAGTCGATACTGAAATCTTATTGAAAATTACTGACCGAGTAACACGCGGTTTTACACAGATTAAGTAACATAAAACACACTTTGATCAGTAGAGGGGCGTGTCATTTAGACCAAATGAAGACAGTTGAAATCAGAGCCGCCATTAAGTATCTCTGTTAGAAAGGGATGTTCCCCGAGGAAATCCATGAAGACTTCATGGATACACTTGGGAAGGAGTCCCTTCCTATAGCATATGTGAAAAAATGGGCTGCTGAATTTAAGAGGGTCAGGGAGTGCATTTGAGATGATGAGCGGCCTGGGCGGCAAAAAGAGGCCACAAACGATGAAACTGCCGAAACTGTGCACGATCTGGTCATGTGCGACAGAAGGCGAGACCTGCGATGTAGTGCTACGGAAGTGGGTGGGTATAAGCCTTGGTTCAGTTCAGGCAATTCTGACAGATGTTTATAGCATGTCAAAGGTTTCCGCTAGATGGATCCCCAGACAGATGTCTAACGACCAGAAACGGACCAGGCTTGACAATTCAAGATATATTTTGTCTCGCGATTAGGATGAACCTGATTTTATCTACCGGATCGTGACTCAGGATGAAAAATGGGTTCATCACTTCGATCCAGAATCCAAAAACAGAGCATGCAGTGGAATTACCCTGGCTCACCCCTCCGAAGAAATTCAAGAGGGTGCCATCAGCAGGGAAGATGATGCCTTCAATTTTTTTGGATAGTCAGGGGATAATCATGAAAAATGAGGGGCAAACTGACTCAAGGCGTTCTGCTGCTGCACGACAATTCGCCAGGTCACATATGCCAAGTTGCGATGGCTGCTGCAACTGACTGCGGCTTTGAAATTCTACCCCATCACCCATATTCTCCGGACTTGCCCCCCCCCCCCCTCTGACTTCTACCTGTTTCCGAAACTTAAAACCAGGCTGCTTCGTGGTAGACGTTTTGGAAGCAATGAAGGTGTCTTGGAGGCGGTCAATGAGCTCTTTGAGGACCAAAATAGATTCTAGTTCTATTTTGAAGGGTTTAACAAGTTGGAGCAAAGGTTAGCAAAGTGCATTGATGTGGCGATTATATTGAAAAGTAAGACCACTTGTTGGATTCTCTGACTAACGGAAGTACATCGGGCCAAAAACTTTTTGATCAGTCCTCGTATGTGCACAGTTTCAGATGTTAAACTGAACACTTGAACATAATGGATTCATTATTGGGCAAAACAACAATTATGACTAGACCTTCATACCTTCAGACCTTCCTTAGGGATTCATATTTTCTCTTTTCTATTTAACATTTTTAAAAAATAGAAAATCTAATATTTTCTCTCCTTATTTTTTATTTTTTGTAAAGATTGTTTAAATCTTTTTATTTGATTACTTTTAGAAAAAGGAAAAAAAGTCAAGCGTTGCTCCCGGCCGGCGGGGGCTCTTGTCTCTTTAAGAAGCGTGTTCATTTCTTCATACGACACTACTCAAAAGTCGTATGTTCTTCTTAGTATAGTGTCTGATTTCTGCCATTTCGTATATTGTTGTCTTCGGCCCTCATAAGTAAATGGCGAAAAAACGAAGAATAGAAATAAAATATGCTCACTTCGTCTTCGCATTGACTTTTGAGGGCGCCGACACAAAGACACGATAGATTTTAGGAGAAATAATGATATTTAAAAGGCGAAGACACGAGATCTTCTGTAGTAGAGTTATCATGTGGGCTGGTAGAAATCTTCGTATCTGCGCCCTATGTGTCGTGTCCTTATGTCTTCAACCCAGAAGGCGAAAGGCGGAGACACAATACTTGGCCAATATATCGAGACGACACGACAGATATATATAAAGCAGAGATTCGAAGATTTCAACATACCGACACGATAATTATATAGAAAGTGTGCATTCGAATTTGGGACGAATACTCGAAATGGCAGTAATCAGGTCCCCTAACTTAGCGAACATTTTGTGACTGATTTTGAGGAGCGCAGCATAAATTGATCTATCGTCGCGAAAATTCGAATTTCCGGTGCACAGATACATTGAGAGCAAACTCCAATAGCCTTACAGCAGTCGCAATAACTAACAAAGTCCTCATAAATTGAGATAAAAACATTGATATACAAATTTGCTTAACTTCATTGAAGGAATGATGCACATTTATGATTGATAAACGAACTTAAATTGTTTGTAATTTTCTAATTATGTTCTAATTTAAGCACAGGCTCTCTATAATTTTATAAATTTGTCTTCGACAAGTGTTTATCCCACTTAAATTAACTTATATTCTAATAATTGCTGTTTTAGATAGATTAAGCATTATTTAGTTATGTTTCATTTAGATGAAAAACAGAAGCTTTTTATTCGCTCCCTTTAACTAACCGGTACTTGTGTAGTAGGACACGAACCCACGATTCCTGGTAAACAAGCAGTAATCTCAATTGTGAACAAGGCTAACTTACTTCACAAACTGTGCAAATATTGTTCACTACAAATGATCGTGATTTAGTATTAAATCGATTTTTTTTACTTTTACTGTAAGTGTTTCGAAAATGAAACAAAAACCAATCTTTTGTCAAAGTATATTTCTTCCTGTAACATAGACAGGTAATTTAAAGCAGGTACTTATTTATGTTGGTGTTTTGTGCCTGGATTTAAATGTACAGAAAGTATAAATCAAGTTATCGTTTCACACATTGCACCACCTCAAGTATTTGACATATGATTTTGAAACTTTGCATAGTTGTTCACCATTATCCCACAGCCTGTACACAGGAGAAGGTAAATCTATCAAACATCTGACAGAACTATGCATTTTAGCTCGACTATACGAAGTATATGGAGAGCTGTCCTACTCGCCCCGGCGCGTCCGCGTCCAGATTTCAGATTAAAGTTTTGGTGCAGTAAAATATTTTTCACTATAACTTTTTCATTTCTAAAGGTATCAACTTCAAACTTCAAATATATGTTCCTTATCATTAACCACATCTTATGTGACAAGGTTCATAACTCTAGTGCCAATATTTTTAGACTTATCTCCCCTTGAACTTAGAATTTTCCTTAAAAAATACTATTTTTTACGGTTACTTCTTTATTTCTTAAGGGATAAACTTCATACTTCAAATATTTAATCCTAATCTTAACCAGATCTTATGTGACAAGGTTCATAACTCTAGCACCAATATTTTTGGGTTTATCTCCCCTTGAACTTAGAATTTTCCTGAAAAAATACTTTTTTTTACTGTTACTTCTTTATTTCCTAAGGGATCAACTTCATACTTCAAATATATGTACCTTATCATCATCCACATCTTATGTGACAAGGTTCATAACTCTAGCACCAATATTTTCATATTAATCTCCCCTTGAACTTAAAATTTTCCTTAATAAATTCCATTTTTTACTGTTACTTCTTTATTTCATAAGGGATCAATTTCATACTTCAAATATATGTACCTTATCATCATCCACATCTTATGTGACAAGGTTCATAACTCTAGCACCAATATTGCAAGAATTATCTCCCCATAAACTAAGATTTTTTTACTTCAAAAATGTTATTTTTTACTATGACTTTTTTAGTTTTAAAGGTATCTACCTCAAATTTCAGATACTTATTCCTTATCTTCAATTACATTTTATGTGACAATGTTCATAACTCTTGAAGCAATATTTACAGATTTATCTCTCTTTGAACTTAGGATTTTCTTTAAGAAATATTATAACTTCTTTCCTTTTTAAGGTATCTACTTCAAACTTCAAATATATATTCTTATCATTACACACATGTTGTGTGACAAGGTTCTTAAATCTAGCGAGACTATTTCTAGAATTATTCCCCTTGATCTTGGAATTTATGTTAACAATGTTATTTCTTTACTATAACTTAAAACATAATTATACATTATTGATTTTTCTTTCATAGTTTTGTCCTCCTTACTGCATCCAGTATTTTATTAGTCGAGCTCTTGTTTCCGGTTAAAGTTTATGTACCACCTCAAATATTTTCAATGTTTATTGACATATGGCTTTAAAACTTTGCAACTTTGCACACTTGTTCACCATCATGCCCTCAACCTGTCCAGCTCTATCAAGAATTTTGACAGAATAATGCCTCTTTTTCGACTTAGAATTTACGTTAAAGTTTGCGTCCCACCACAAATATTGTCCATTGCCATCTGGATTTAAAACTTTGCACACTTGTTCACAATAATGCCTCTAATATGTACACATGAGGAGGTAACTCTATCAAGCATTATGGCAGAATGTTGCCCCTTTTTTTACTTATAATTTGCGTACAAACTCCTATAGTACATCGACATATGGCTTTGTGACTTTGCATATTTGTTCATCCTGTGTACAGGAGGAGGTCACGGTATCAAGCTTTTTTCTAATATTATGCCCCATTACCATCAAACACTGAGAATAGTCGAACATGCTATCCAAAACAGTTGAATTTCAAACCCTTTTTTCAGATGAAGGCTAACAATATATATGATTTAATAGAAAATAGTCACAAGGCTTTGGCGGAAGGTAATGAAGAAAACGCCAAACGATTTGCTTTACATGCTATTATTGGTATAAACAAGGAGAAAGAAACTTTCCTTACCGGACAACAGGATACGGTCACCGAACAGGAATTAGCTGACTGGTACGGAGAGTGTGCCTTTATTCTGAACACGGTAATCCAGTTTTTATTTCACGGTTTTCACCCTCAAATATTGAAAATGTTTCAATGAGTTAAATGCAAACGTTATTGACAAATTTTTTCCATCTTATATTTTCATAAAATATATATACATGTTTTACAAAGTGTAGTATTTTAGGTTATAACAAAATAGCGCATTGAGAAGGAAACAAATTACTTATACATGTATTCCTTTTTAATCACTGTAAACTATTTTTGAGATAACAGTCACAGAAATACCATTTTTGAATGAGAACAACTCTTATTCCCTGTCGGTATCAATATGTAAACAGTAGCTTAAGTGTACATCAATGATTAGGAATTAATTTATTTTCTCTTAAGCTAGTAATAACAGTAAAGGACTCTTCTTCTTTTTGAAAACCGACGAGATGGTCGGTAGAAGAGTACCACAATTAACATGTACATAACATTCAAGTTTAGTAGAATTAGAAGCGTTCAAACAATTTTGATGTATTTAAAAACGTGAAAATCTACATGAGACGCTTTTTAAATTTTCTGTTGACTGACAAGTGGAAATACGGTGAATTGAAATATTTTTCCACGAAGCAAAGAAAAACCTAATTTTCTTACTTATATTTTGCTGATATGTAATATCTTTCATAAAAATATAACCATGTGTAAATATAGATACAAATACTTACAAAAAATTGTATTTTCATTCAGATTTGCGAATTCATTACAGCTGCAAAATGTTTCTACACAGGTAGTTAATTTCTTTATGTCCCAAATCATTAGTTTTTTAGAAAAACACATTAATGCTATATGGCAACCTATAAGCCTAACTAATTGATGTAGACTACAGCTGCCCGTAACATATTATTTCAGCTAACACCAGGTCCCTTTGACTATATTTGACCTAGTTTGTTTAGTAGCCTCTTTTATGACATAGTTGAACGCGATAAGTGCTTTTTAATCTAAAGTGGTAATGAGCAAGTCATCTCTGAAGTCCTTTCTTTTAGCACAGCTTAGTTGAACTTCATTATTGTATGTTTTCCGTTCCAACGTGTTCGTTTTGATACAAACAACATCTCTTCCTAAATCATATGAATGGTCCTCTTTGTTGGTTAAAGGGTTCCAGGATGATGAATAAGGATGTGACAAAGCTAAAGATAGACTTTAGAAAGTTTAGAAACATTGCTAATTAGTGGGCCTGTATAAAAAATTAATTAATTATACCATGGAGGCAGAAATGACTCCGCCCGTTAGGTCACTTAGTTAATATAGAATAACGTAGATTACAAACATTAAAATATCTATTCATCAGAAACTATGATAAACAGTTTGAATTTAGATGTTTGGCTGGAAGCAGTAAGTTCGGGTCCTCTACACACTTTATGTGACAAAATTTACCCTGCAATCAAAATAAATCATTCTATTGGATGTTTCAGATAACAAAGATTTGTATATGAAAACTCGTAAGAAGTTTAGGCATTTGGAATGTTTTATTGCATTTTGGCCTTTAACAAAAAGTATATAAATTATGCTACTGGCTACTGGCATTTTATATCAAGAACCCTACTTCTAAAATACTTAATTTTAGTCTTCAAATTTGATTCACTTGTGTGCTAGAAGTTAGTGTTTGATTTTTACATTTGACTGCGGATTACTTTGAATGTGACACAATGACCTGTTTCTACAGACCTGCAGAATCTTTGGTCTTTGGAAACAGTGTGTCCATAGACTCTATTTTCTGTATCAAGAGTACAACAAAAATACAAAAACAAATACCAAATGATAGAAAACCCGTAATAAAATAGGAGCTTGTCTTATATGCAAAAGTGTCATTGTACTGTCTACAAAAATGAAATTAGACAACAAAGTCTAGATAGCTTCAGAGTGATGCTTCTAATAACAAAACACAAAAAATGCTTGCTATGTTCAAAAGAATACAAAATTTACATAAATGTTAGTGTTCATTGATTTGGTTCAATCCTATAGTGTTGAAGGCTATAAGCTTATTGCAAATTGAAAGACTCTTGAATCCGTTCCTGGAACCGACCAGTACTTAGCAGTAAAGGTAATGTGTTTTGCTTATTGAAACAATAGTAGACACCTGACAGGGTTTGAACCCATACGGTCATTAACTGTAGAGATAACTAGTCCGACTTTTTAACCACTTGGCTACTCGGACACTAAATAAAAGCTTGTTGAAGATTTTGAAAGAATTATGATACCTAGCGCAGAAAAATAAAAATATGTTTATGTTGTACATGTATTTTAAACGCTTAACATATACTTTCATATCCTCAGCTATAATATTTGATGCTAAATGGAAGGTTGAAACACACACCGATGTGGCCCAAGTACTGTGGAATGCTTTAGTTTTTGAAGAAAATATATTCATTCTCTCTGGAAACCTTCAGGTAAATATGATGACATAAATGGGGTGCCAATCTGTATTTGCAGGAATATAGAAAATTAGTTATAGAGAAGGGGAATAGGAATAGGATTAATGTAATGGTAGATAGGTATCAGTAGTAAGAGTTTAGAGAATCTAGAAGACCTTATAAGTTCTTATTGAGAAATATGGCTTTTAAGTGTTAAAGAACAAAATGATGCTGTGAAGCAGGGTAGGATAAGTAGGGATGAAAAGAAATATGAATGTAGAAAAAATACTGATAGACATTTGAATTGTACGGAATTTGTTTTATACAACTAGAAATGAAGAAAAGAATAAACAGAAAAAAATGCGAACATAATGGAAATAAAAGTGTCAGGAAATAATAACTTACGAACAAAATGAAACGTAGATAATTATGGGCAATAAGGAATATAACATAATAACATAATACGGCCTATATGAAAAAGAAAAAGAAGTAAAATATTGAAAAGAAGTCAAACAAAAAAATACTTAACTGCGAAGCAGGATGTGTATATAGTATGATTAGGGGAAAAGAGAAGTTTATAATATGAAAAATGAGTAAAGAAATTCGTTATATTTAATTTAAAAACTGGAGGGGAAAAAAGGAGAAGGTAACGTCCCGAGGGATGCCGAAAAAAATAATTTTTTCTTTGGGCCCCGCGTTGATCAGTACAAAGTTTATAAATTTTAGAACATAATATCATAAAACAATCAGCTTTGAAAATTAACAACTCCGAAATACACTAATTTAAATTCTCAAAAGGCTCAATAATAGTAAAGATATGTTTACACTATAACACTATAAAATTCATTGAAAAACAATATAGATATCACGAGAAAGCTGCAACCCGAAATTTTTCCTATAGTTCCAGCAACTACCTCCCTATCTATGAAGGCGGGCTTCTATTAAGAAGAAAGAAAGTTGCTGGTAGGGATTTACAACAAAGTTCCAACTTATACAAAGCTTATTCGTTTTAAATTCTTCCTCCTGATTTTTAACCTATATGTTATCCAATTTCCTCGATAGCGAGGCTTTCAGAAAAATGTGAAATCATAAGTACCCAGAGCAAATACAATTTCAAAAACAAACGACACAATCCCATTGAACAATGCTTCAATTTTGGATAAACAAGGGATTAGTAGTTTTGCCAATTCTTTCTTTTCTACCTATGAAGCTAGGCTTCAGTTAGGTAGACGAAATTATCCTCTATGTATGAAGCGAGGCTTCAATTACATAAAGTAACCTGGTCCCGGTGAATTCCTCTGCATAGACTGAATAATGTTGGCTCTTGCCGCCGTATTTATACCTGCTGGGGATGATCGCTCAAAGCATGACTTATTTTCATTTGCTGATTAGAATGATCACTAATCACTGAGACGAATATTATATTATATGATATAAAACGTTATTTGAAAATACGGTATACCAAACGTATATTATAAAGTACCGTAAACTAAAATACATTTGTCGCAATATTAAACAATTAACATAATAGTAAAGTTACACTTAAAAATTTCAGCAAACGATAATCTTTTAAAAAAACTAAGCTTAGTTTAAAACGCAAAACGTTACCACTACCCACGCCTCCGTTTTACATGCGCCCCGCATGAACATACAAAATATTTGTTTTTATTAAACTGCCTCTAACAAATAGATTTAGCATGCACACTTTCCGAATGCCCTGTATCTTGAGATTCCCTTACTTTATGTATTCTTCTACAGTGCTGTCTTATATAAGATTTTCTTTCTAAAAATTCATTCCACAAAAATGACAAATCACGCGGTTACAACCAATCGGACCTTTACAATTTATTTTCATCTTTTTACCATTGGCTGTTAACTGATTATTCTGAACATCTATAACAATATTTCTTGCCGTCATAAAATCTAATCCTAATATTGCATCTCCCTCTATATCAGAAACTATAAAGGGATTTGTCGAAATTTCATCATTCAATTGAACATCTAAATGTGTTCTTCCTTTTATCTCTAAAGGTGTTCCAGATGCATTTACAATATTTGTTTCAAACGGTTTCAAATTTACTGGAAACTGACATCTATCCCTAAAACTTGAAGAAATCATTGAAAGTGTTGCACCAGTATGAATTAAACAATTAGCTTTGATGCCATTTATTGTAGCTTCAACAAATAACCCTGAACCACACAAATTAGACGAATTTTAACAATCTTTTCTCTAACATATTAATTTTTTCGTTTTGATTTCGTAATGAATTGTCGACAATTGTTATTTTATTTATGACCCTTCCTGACCACACTCATAAAAATTCAAATACTTTGGTTTTGACCCATATAAGGTAATGTTCTTGAATACGTTTTATTATTTTGATTTTCGCTGGCAATATCTGAGTTTCTTTTATCAAAAAGTTTTAAAAAAATTATTTTGGCTACGTTCGAAACATTGATAGCATATTTTTCATTTGCCTCTACTAATTTTATCAGGCTACTAAACTTGTCATCTTCACTTTTCAGGAAACTCATATGATAAATTTTAACTGTTCTCATATAGCCAGGAGTTTCATGGGTATTTTTGTTTCAGCTCTGTTGAAAGCCTCAAGCTCAACAGCGTGTCGTACTCTTCATTCAAGCTAGTGAGACGAGCTTGTTTAATTCTAAGCCTCATATCTGCGTTGACCAAAGAATCTATAAATTGTTCTTTCGCTAAAGTTTTCTTTCACATCTAATGGTGCTGAAGGGTATGCTAAATTTAGTCAAAACGTCTTATGTCCCTGCCCCATCTCAGATAAAGATTCTGTAGCTTTTTTGGTCTTCTTTTCGTAGTTGAGCTCTATATAATCAGTTTTGATTGGGTGGTGAAAACCTTTCTTCTAAATCTAATACAAGTTCAAGCATAATTTGGTGATTTAGCTTGTCAGATTGCTAAATACACCTTGAGCTTGACCTCTTAATGAAACAGATAAATAAAGACCTTTTTCTTTGTTTGTCCATTGATTAATTTCTGAACATGTCTCAAAATGCGCTTTATAATCTATCCATGAGCTAGTTCCATCATACGTAGCTGGCTTCATCATAACACTTCGTTTTGAATTTGAGTTTATAGGGTCACGTTTTATTTCTGTTGAATTTGAAGTATCCATTTGTATGTTGCTGTGTAAGGACTCTGTTTTATTTGCTGGTTGTGATTTTCTCTTTCGAAAAGTAACAAATCGATCTCTCGGAATAATTTTAAATCAGAGCCACAAGGAGATTCCGTAAACCTTAAAAAGTTTGTTTTTCAGCTAATGGGGTTAAGACACTTTCTATTTTAAAACGGGCTTTTTATCTGGGGTCGGTGGTAAAAACGTCGCCTTCTTTCTGATAGAGGGTGTTGCCATATTGTCTTGTTAAAAATTAGGTGTTGACATTTTGTTTGTCTTCATAGTTTGAGTCATATTGTTTTTTGAAAATTAACTGCATACCGTCAATCTTGTCTTTCAAGTATTGATATTTCATTTTGCAATTTCAAAGCTTCATTTTGGCTGCTGCAAATCTCTGAGTTTTTCGTGTAACAAAATAAGCTCATTGCTATTACTAAAATCTTTACTCTCAGCCATTTTTAACAAATATCTATTTAATATGTGGGGATAACAGATAATGGTGTTTTTATCTATGTAATCCACCGCTGCCACCAATTTTTGTAAACGTGTACCGAGCGGATGTACAACGAATACTATAATAAATTTTTTCTTTGGGCCCTGCCGTTTGATCAGATTACAAATGATTATGAAATTATCATATATCATAAACAATCAGCTTGAATTACACTCCGAAATACACTATTAAATTCTCAAAAGGGCTCAATATAGTAAAGATGATGTTTACAAAATAACACTATAAAATTATTGAAAACTATATTATATCACGCTGCAACCCGATAATTTCTATAGTCCAGCAACTACCTTTCCCTATCTATGAAGCGAGGCTTCTATTTTAGATAGAAAGATAATTGCTGGTAGGGATTTACAACAAAGTTCCAACTATACAAAGCTATTCGTTTTAAATCTATCACCTCTGGATTTTTAATACCTATATGTTACCAATTTCCTGATAAGCGAGGCTTTCAGAAAAATTTGGGGAGATCTATAAGTAACCAGAGTCAATTACAATTTCACAACTAAACTAGAATCGACACTTATATCCATGAAGCTATGCTTCAATTGGGATAAACAAGGGTAAAGTAGTTTGCCAATTCTTCTTTTTGCTACCGTATGAAGCTAGGCTTCAGTTAGTGTAAGACGAAATTATCCTCTATGTATGAACGAGGCTTTAATTTACATAAAGTAACCTGTCCCCGGTGAATTCCTCTGCAGACTGGAATAATGTGGATCTGCCGCCGTATTATACCTGCTGGGATGGATCGCTCAAGCATGACTTATTTTCATATTGTGAAGAATGATCACTATCACTGAGACGAAATTATATTATATATAATAAAACGTATTAATTGAAAATTACGATACCAAACCGTATATTATAAAGTACCGTAAACTAAAATAACATTTCGCAAATATAAACAATTACAATAATAGTAAGTTACACTAAAATCAATTTCAAAGCAAACGATAACTTTAAAAACTACTTGAGTAAAACGTCAAAAACGTTACAGAAAGTACCGAGTTAAAATAGAAAAAAGAAGACAGTAAGTTGAAAAAAAAGAATTTATTTCATTTTAAGGAAAATAGAATTCTTTAGACAAAATAATCTTTAATTTGTTTCATTTTGTCGCTTATTTTGCAATTTCAATATTTGCTTTAATTCTATAAAAAAAAACAAGAATAAAGATCAACAAGGCAAAGGCAACGTTCACAGGACGCGGCCCCCGACACACTCAAAAAATCCTAGAGCGGACATAAGGATGAAAGGAGTGGGACATGTAATGTGAAATAATATCAACTAAAAAAGGGCCCATAGGGAATTAAAGGGATAAGGGTGTAAGGGTGAAAAGGGGAGGGGGGGTTAAAAATGGTGAGGGGGGTTTTTAGAAAATACTTACCGTCAACGACAAATCCAACAAGACAGACATCACAAAACATGTAAACAAGTAACAAAACAGACATGAAAAACACGTGAAGGAACACAAACGGGTACCGCCTTGGAACGGTCAGTGGTAGTAAAACCACTGGGGAGTTTAAACCGATTTTAGGCGCGCCAAACTCTTAGCCCCAATATGTTCCTGAATGACATTAAAGTGTAAATAAAAATAATCCCCGCCAATTGAAATTCTAACAATGGTCATGGTTACATTAGACGAAATAAATAAAACACATACAAAATAATGTAAATATGTAGAAAAGGGTACAGCCTAATGACCATTACCAAAGTAATTCCTTAAATTCGACAGTACTAAACAATATGATATGTTGGCTTCAATGGTATGTTGATGTTTCTATTATTTAATAATTTTCAGAAAATAAGGATTCTCCTTGCTGATCTAGACACTTTAGCCAGGCTTGCTGAACGACGGAGAAAATGGTCGGTTTGCATAAATATAGATGGAGATATAAACAAAGTGTACACTTTTTTAAGAGTTATTGGCTTCATACAAGAGGATCTTATCAGCCAGCCAGGACGTAAAAGTGGAATATGGAGAGCGGCAAGATGCTATCTTCAGTTGGTATGTACAAGTCTTAAGTTGCAGGAGGTATAAGACTGAATTTTGCCAAAGTAATAAAGAAAGAATAAGAATATGATTTAAATAATTGACTTATCGTCTTTTGCTAAAGACATCGCATACATGAGGTGGTGATACATGTTTCTTAGTTTTGAAAAAAATAAAATACAGCAATTTAATAATATTTTAAGTGTTTCATTTGTTACTATTACATGCGATTACGATTAAAATTAACTAATTTTTCATCTGTCGATATTTTTCGAATGTTATATCATTTCAATTAACATTATCTTGCCTTACAAAACAAAATTATATATCTAGAATACTTTTCCAATGAAATTAATTTATTCTCCTCCTGTAAAGTGAATTGGTCTACAATGGGCACATTTTCCACAAATATTGATACAAACTATAGAAATAATTCATTTTGATATACATAATTCTGATAAAATATTGCTACAATAGAAAAATGTGAATTAAATGTCGAGGTTTACGTATAAACATTTCTATGATGTAAAATGACCTTTTCTCTAGAAAAGTTAATTATCACGTACCTCACTCTTGCCATCAACATCCATATATGTATGTAGTTCATGCTTTGTTGATGTATGTGATACAAAATAATATCGGCATAATTATTTATTGTATAACAGACCTTCAATTATAGACCATTTCATTTTAAATGATAAGATTTTTGACAAATAGAGAATTTGGCTGGGAAGGATTTTAGACATTTTAATGATGATATTATAGTTTTTGATATACCATAAAATGTTACCCTTTGAATTGCTTTCAATACGTTTTTCATATAATATTAATAAAAATTAATATAAAGAAGCATATACATGCTAAAAATAAAAGGTTATATACAATCTATATATCTTGAATTGTTGCAGAACTTACACCAGGAGGTTAGGAAATTATGTAGCACAAGTAAGTGTCTTATCTATATACTTTGTAGTGCTTTGTCCTCGAAAAATATTATTTTACACGTTTAGGGGGTATAAAGGAGTCGGCTTGTAGGTCCGTTGGTCTGTCCACTTTGTGGTTTCAGGACAATAACTAGAGTTTGGAATAAGATATTGTAATAAATTGGTTTATAGAAAGCTTATTTAAAAACCCCGGTTGTGTATGACTTTGGACTCCCTGACAACAAGGTCACTGTAACTAAAAATGAAACAATGGTTTCCAGACAATAACTAGAAATGGGAATGAGATACACGTTTTATGATCAAGCTTGATATAAAGCAATGATCTTTTGTGGACACCCTGGTTTGAATTGCTTTTGGACCCCCTGGGATCAAGGTCAATGTTTCTAAAGTAGAAAAATGGTTATCAGACAATAACTGGAGTTAGGAAAGAAATGTTGGAATCAAACTTGGTATCTAGCAAGCTTATATTTAGACCTCACATGTGATTGCTTTTGTCGACCCGAGGTCAAGGTAAATGTCCTGTCACTAAACATAGAAAAATGGTTTCCGGACGATAACTAGAGTTAGGAATGAGCTATTGTAATAAAACTTGGCATAAAGCATGCTTATGAAGACACCTAGCTTAGGATTGTTGTTTGATCTCTTAAAGGATTCAAGGGCGGGATCAATGTAATAAAAACTAGAAAAATGTTTTCTTGAAGATAGGCAATTGTTTGTTCTAATTTGGACAAATAAATGAATCATTTTTTAGTCCCCTACCTGTTTAACGTTAGGGGACTTTAGGTTAAACCTCCGTCCGTCCGTCTGTCCGTCCGTCTGTCTGTCAGTCCGTCCACAAAACTGGATCCGCGATAACTAAAAAAGTACTAAAAATATTTTTATGAAACTTGATATATGGATAGATGACAGTATGGAGATTATGCACGTTTGATTTTTTTCTTCCTATGTTGAAAATTCGGGTTGCTATGGCAACAAATAGACTGAAAATATGGCAAATTTAGCATATAAACTGGATCCAGTGATAACGTAAAAAGGACTGAAAATATTTTTAAGAAACTTAAAACATGGGTAGATGGCAGTCTGGGGATTATGCACAAACCCCCTTTTTTATTTTTTACTCCCAACTTCTTTATTCCTTTTAGGATTTACTTCAAACTCCCACATCATAATAGTATAACAAGGTTTATAAATCTAGAATCCATATTTCCAGAATTATCTTCTCATTAAACTTTGAATTTTTGTTATTAATTCTTTAATTTTCTTATTTCTTCATGGATTTACTTCGAATTTAAAATAAACATTCATTATCAACACCTATATATATATATATTTTAATTTTCATCTTTGTTTCTATACATGATAATGGTATATTTAAAAATTATTCATTTTTTTTACTTTTCTTCTTTGTTTCTATAAATAGTATCATCGTGTATGACAATGTTCATAAATCTAGCATCTTTATTTCAAGAGTTATCTCCTCTGTTATATTTAGGTAACAGGGATGTTAAAAAAATAACTTTAGAGTCTCCTTCAGTCTGTCTGTCTGTCCATAAAAACTGTTTCCTGAGATCACTTTTAAAGATTTTTTCAAACAAATTTACTTAAAATAGAGAAAAGTTGAAACATTTGTTATACTTATTCATCCTGAGAAAATTGGACCTTTTGATTATCTCTTGTATAAGCATAATTTCCTTACTTGGCAGGGAAACTAACACATTACTATGATATAGACAAACTTAGAATTCAAAAAATTTAAGTTCATTGATGTCATTCATTCATTCAATGGTATAATTAAATGGCCAATGGCCCTTCAGAATGTTGCTGGAGTTCTAACCGGTAGGGGACTTATGGATGGCTTGCAATACTATGATAATTGCTTGTTTTAAGTTAAGGTTGCTGGTGAGAGTTTGAATCGCCTTTAGTGATCGCTCTAGTTTGTATATTCTACAGCTGAAAAATACTACAAGGAAGAAATCACCCCACCTAATAATAGATATTAAAGTGTTAAGTGACAAAATTAAACAAATTCATTTATAAATATTTTTAGAAGATACATATTTTTTATACATGTATAAAAATTCTAGGTATTTTTTTTATCATTTAGAAAAGATAATTTTGTATGATTATTCATTCTTGCAGTTTTGCAGCACGTTTGTGATTATGACGACTCCGAAGCTTTGGAAATTTGGGCTAGATCACTGTACAACACAGGCGATTACGACCTTGCTTTACAGAAAAACCAGCTAGCTCTGAAGTACTGCTCGGTAGGAAGAACATTTACATATTTTTCTTAAAAACGCAATGTTATATTAAATATATAATGTAATATTAACCTGACAAATAGCAGTGTATTCAAAAATTCAAAAAGTCAAAGACGTTACAAATTTGATGTGTGAAACTTATTTTATCTTCAAATTAAAAAAATACTTTTTAGCTCGACTATCCGATTCCTTGTTAACTTTTCTGCAATAAAATTTATTTTAATAGAACTCCTTATAAGTTCTTCATTTACTTCGAAATTTAAAAATGTGTTTTTTATTATTATTACTATCATCTCATGTCGCAATGTATTTACCACAAGCACCCATATTTCTAGAATCAACTCCCTTTTAAACTTAATAATTCCTTTTAAGTTTGAAATATTTTACTGTAACTTTTTTAATTATTCCCCGCCAAATGGCGACGGGGGATATCAAAATAGTCTCCGTCCGTCCTTCCGTCCGTCCGACATTTTTTCCCGTACATATCTCAAAAAGTATTTGAGGTATCAACTTGAAACTTCATAGGTGGATAGATTTCATTGAGGAAGAGTGCAGTACACAAGAATTATTACTCTATCACGCATAATTTTTCACTTATTATTGCCCTCTGTTATTTTTTTCCAGAGTTTAACTCAAAAGGTATTTGAGCTATCAACATGAAACTTCATAGGTGGATATATCTCACTCAGGAAGTGTGCAGTGCGCAAAAATGATAACTCTACCTTTCATAATTTTTTAGTTATATTTTTATTTCAGATTTATGTTCCTTGTATAAAATTCCTTGAAATTTATGAAATGTTACCATAGCCTCTTATTTTAAGATATTTACTTCATTTTCTTATCACACACACACACACACACACACACACACACGCACGCACGCACGCACGCACGCACGCACGCACACACACACACACCGTCATTTATACTTTTATCATGTATGACAAGGTTCATTAAATTCATTTTCTTATCACACATGCACAAACATACACACAAACTCACACACACACTAACTCACACGCACACCCACGCGCACACACGTGCGCGCACACACACACACACACACACATTTATACTTGTATCATGTAAGACAAGGTTCGTAACTCAACACCTATAATTCAAGATTGATATCTCCTTTGAATTTCGCTTGGATAGTTTATGCTCCCGGATTATTAAATCGGAGGGAATTTCATTTTGTATGACTATTTTTATTGACTTTTTATTGCTTTTCACAAAATTCTGATCTTAATGTTGAAGTTCTTCCACCTACAACCTCAAAATATTAAGTTCTTGCATCCTGACGAGCTGTAACAACCTGAACCATTTAGAGGTCATGGTGTCAACTATCAAGGCCTTCATGACCCATCTTTAACTTGGTCATAAAATTTATAAAATCGCTTCAATCTATATCAAAATTTGTGACCATTCAAAAAGTGTATGCGTGCGCGCGTGAGTGTGTGTGTTTGAGTGAATTTCTCGTGAAAAACTACCAGTCCGATTTCAAACAAACTTTTCAGGATTGTTCCTTGGATAATGGACTTCCAAATTTTATCAAAGATTTTGATTCCATGCAGAAATCTGGTTGCCATTGCAACCATAGGAATTATAAGAAAAAACATATTTTTGTTAAGACACACAAGACCTAGAGGAAAGATATTTTGCACAAGACATCATCTGATGGACCTCTACCAAGATTGTTCAAATTATAGCCATTCAATCAAAATTGGCCACACTCTTGGGGTAATGTGTTTCTTTATATGTATAAAGTAAAAAATTAAAAACCTTTTCTTCAAAACTAAAAGGGCTAGAACTCTAATATTTAGCATGAATCATTGTCTGGTGAAGCTTTATTTATATGTGTGTAGGAAAATAAACTTCGTCTACTTTACTATGGAGGCTTTAGCTTAGATATTTGGTATGAAACATGGTTTGGTGGACCTCTCCAAAAGTTTGTTCAAATTATTGCCCACAGGTAAAAATTGGCGCCGCCACAGAGGAACATAGATTTTCTTTATATGCATATAGTCAAAAAAAATCTTAAATTATTTTCTTAAAGTGACATTATGCTCATATTTTCATAGTTAAGTTGAGCGGAATTGACTTTTTATTTCAAAAGATTGACTGTTAAAATGGTGTTTGACTAACAGTTGATATTGGAAAATGTTCAAGATAAAATATAAATCTGCCTAATATATAAAAAGACTGCCCCACTCTTTCTATAAACTGAGCGTTATGGGTTAATTCTTATAGATGTTTGCAGAGATTTTATTTGGATTTGTGCATTACTTATTGTTTATGGGAAGTAAATTATAAAATTAAAAGGAATTATGGCAGAATGAAACCTTATTTTGAAATTAACCTGTTCACTCACTATATACCCTTGGATGGGCATAATGTCACTTTAAACTACAAAAAGTAAAGCTTAGTTTTTTTACATGTTGAAGTGGAAGTTTACAAAATGTGTTCAAATAAAAGCCATTGTCATTGATTTTCCTTATATGTTTTAGTAAAAACTAAAAAGTCATTGACTTTCCATAGCAACCTCTGACATCCATTGCATCCAGTGACTTTCCAAAGCAACCATTGATATTTTTTTCACAAATAGGTAATCCTTAATTGATAAGATAATTTTTAAGAAAAATAAAGGTAACTGTATTTCAAAGTCTAATACAGCTATGTCATACCGAAAAATACCAAAATATTCATCAAGTGAGAATACTTTATTTTGAATCAATTATTATACTATGGCCTTTGTATCTGAACACTTGACACATTTGGACATTATCTATCATTTGAAATATTCACAAGACACTGCTGCATTATGGCAAAGTTCATTTGTATAGAAACAAAAACTATTTCTGTTCATACTATTTATTGGGGTATTAATGCGGTGGCATAGCATTGTTTACAAATGAAATCTTGTTTTTGTGCCACCGCAGCATCTGCATAGTTCCTGGGTGAAGGGCTTCGAAATTTGTTCAAAGAATTTGATTCCCTGCAGAAATCTTGTTGTCATGGCAACCAAAAATGAATTATAAGAAACAAATAGAAATAAATCTTCTTGTAAAGACCCACAAGGCCTAGAGCAAAGATATTTTGCATAAGGCATTGTCTGGTAGACCTCTACAAAGATTGTTCAAATTATAACTCTGGGGCCAAAATTGGCCCCGCCCCTTGGGTGAAGTAAAAACGTTAAGATCTTCTTCTCTGAATTGATAAAGTCTAGAGTTAAGATATTTTGCTTGAATCATTGTGTAGTAGACCTCTACCAAGATTGTTCAAATTGTGCCCGGCCCCGGGAGTCATTGATTACGTACATACAGCAAAAATCTTTTAGAGTTCAAGGCCCAAAGTTTTGATAATTGGTATATGATATTATCTATAGGTACTTTACCAAATTTGTTCAAATTTCGCCCCTAGTGTGAAAATTGCCCTGCCAGAGGAGTAATAGGTTTTCCTAATTATGTATTTAGTAAAGGCTTAAAAAATTCTTCTCTGAATTAACAAAGGCTAGAGGTAAGATGTTTGGCATGAAACATTGTGTAGTGGGACCAAGATTGTTCAAATTATAGCCCTGTGGTCAGAATTGACCGCGCCCGGAGGTGTAATTGGTTTTCAATATGTACATTTAGTAAAAATTAAATAAAAAACACTTCCTGTCCGAAGGTTCAAAGCTTAGAGCTTTGAAATTTAATATATACTATCATATATAGGTTCTCTACAAAAGTTGTTCAAATGTTGCCCTTTGTGACAAAATTGGCTCTGCCTCTGGTGTCAAAGTCTTTGTTTATGTGTATACAGTCTAAAAAAAACTTTTAATAAAAAAGATTTTTAACTGAATTGACTAAGGCTAGAGGTTAGATATTCATGAAACATGGTGTACCATGATTGTTCAATTTATAACCATGGGGTCAAAATTGACCCCATCCCGAGGGTCATTGATTTTCATTATGCACATACAGTAAAACAGAAACTAAAACATATGTTTTCTGAATAGGAGAAAGTTAGAGCTTAGATATTTGACATGAACATTGTCTGGTGGACCTGTATCAAAATCTGGGGGTCAGAATTTTGCCCTACCCAAGGAGACACAGTGACTTATTTTTTTTTGTCCTTTGATTTCAAGACATGAAATAAATTTCGACCATTAGACACATCTGCACATCGTCTTTCATTTGAAATGCTGAAATATAACACTGACCCCCAAAGTCACTAGCCACTACTGCATTATAGCAAAGTTCAATTGTATAGAAACACAAAAATGTCTACTTCTGTTTTTACTATTGACTAAATAATTAAGTGCTGTATTAATGCGGTGGCATAGGATTTTTTCACAAAATAAGTATTGTTCTCTTTAGGACAGGTGATCAAGATTTATTCATTTTGGAGTGACGGGATGGCCGAGTGATTAACGCGTCGGAGTAGTTACCTAAGGATTGCTATCCTTGTGGGTTCAAACACTGTCAGGGTTCTTTGAGCTCACAAGAACTTTACACAAAGTGCTCAATAATGTTTGGTTTTAGGAACGGATTCAAGAGTGTGTCTATAAGTTATAAGCTGCCAACACAGTCGAACTAAAATAAATTATGTATTAACCAAGATTTATTAACGTATGTATTTATCAGTTGTTTTTCTCACATTTTTTATGTGCATTTGCTATTTTTAGAATAAAAGTGATCAGAAAAGACTTTATTCTTTCGAAGCCGTGTTAGCCAAAAAGTTAGAAGAATCTTCTGTTCCACAAATTTGTCCAGATGAGTCTTGGCTAAAAGAAACAAATGCAATTTGTCCAGTGAGTATTGTCGTTTTGTCTTCTTAAACTTCAATATTCTAATAAAAATATTTCAAAACGACTCGACTATTATTATGTGATAAAGTATTAAATATTTGTTCAAGTGTGCGTGCGTGCGTGCGCGCGAGTGCTTGTGTGTGTGTGTGCGTGTGCGCGTGTGCGTGTGTGTGTGTGTGCGCGCGCGCGTGTGTGCGTGTGTGTGTTTATTTTTAATAGTTTATAACTTAAAGGTATGTTTTTGATCTTTTAAGAATGCGATTGTTAGAAGGAAACTTGCAACCCCAGGGATAGTGAAAAGGAGAAAAAAAAGACGTAAGCTTTTTATTTCGATTGTGAATGTCATGATAAATTGGCGATACATCAATTTCAGACTTGATAATATAATTGAACTTTGATACTTACTCATAAAGATCAAAATAATGTATTGCAATCTTTCGAACAATCACTTTCAAATCTTTAACATGTTTATGTTAATAATGAGATATCTTTGAAGTGGTAAACACTTATGCTATTGGGGATATCAATTATTTTAGGAAAAGCGATTGGTCGATCTGGAAGTACTACACCGATGTCAAGATTGCAGTCACTAGAAGGAAAGAAAGAAACAAGTTTATCGTCATCCACATCGTTAAGAGACACCGAAAATGCTACAATTTCAACGGCAACATTTCAGCTTAAGAGCAAAAATAAATTTTATGAAAGGCTCCGAAATGTAAGTGGTTGCAGTGCAGCGACTTCGACAAACGATACATCTGATTACGAAACAGAAACGTCTTACGACTACAGTGTATCAGATAGTGATCCCGACGATGATGAAAGTGTAAATTATTATTTACATTCAAGAAATGAAAGTCCAGATCAGAATTTGATTTCAGAGCAAGACGCTGTGATAGACAACATGCAAGAGCAAATGTCATTTTACGAACAAAGTTGCAGATTCTACCAGAAAAAAGACGAAGTATCTGAAAGGCTTGGTAGAGCAGAGTGTGAAGAGACTCTTCTTAAGACAGGAATAACTCTGAATATGTCGTACTTGCATAAGTTTGAAGACCAAACTCCAAATATTCTAAAACAAGAATGTTTTTATACAGAATTTCTTGACAAAGCTAAACTTCAAGAATTGATGTTAAAAAATCCGAAGAAGTACATCAGATGTACCATACAGATAGAAGGATGCCACGAAGCATTTTGTTGTCCGGTCGATTCACATGATTCTATAAGCATAATTGAAATATCAGGTCGATCAAAAATTGGACAAGCTTTTAATGAAGATGAAGTTATTGTTGAAATTCTTGACGATCATGTTTCCAGAGAGAAGCGATACGGGAAAGTAATTGGTATATGGAATAGACAAAGACACGACAACACAAAGCATCCAGTTTTTATCTGCACCTTAGACGATATGGAAAGTCATCTTGTTCGACCTATGTGTAAAACTATTCCAAAGATACATGTTTTAAATATAGAGATAAAGCAAAAATACAAAGATGAAAAAGACAGAAGAAACAAAGTTGAAATATACGAATATGATGAAAAGGCCGGCATATTATGCAATCCCAAAATATTTGAAGTTAATCCAGCGGAGCAAGGCTCTGTTATTTTTCTAGTAGCTTTTATCAAATGGGGTGCTCGACATATTTACCCAAAAGGGGCAATCATTAAACGACTGCCAAGTGGGAGTAGCGTCGCAACTGGCCTAATGATTCTTAACCTACAACATGAGGTGCCAACTCTTTACAAAAAGGAAACAGTGGAACAAGTATTAAGTATAGTTAAGAGAACGGGAGAAGAACCACCAGTACATATGTTACATGATAGAGTAAATCTAACTAATTTGAATACATTTACCATTGATCCTCCTGGTTCTAAAGATCTGGACGATGCACTCAGCATTGAAATAATTGAAGGCGGTTACAAAGTAGGCGTCCATATTGCAGATGTTGCTGTATTTATTCCCAGGGACTCACCTTTAGACGAAGAAGCGCAAAACAGAGCTACAACATTTTATTCAGGCATACGAAAACCTAGAAATATGATCCCAGAACCGTTAAGTTCAAATATTTGCAGTCTCCTCGAAGATAAATTAAGATTGACAATATCTGTCTTTTTTTACATCGGAATAAATGGACGACTTCTATGTATGGAAGGCAACAATGTAGAAATTGTAAAATCATACATAAAATCTAAAAAGCAACTGACTTATGGACAAGCACAAGAATTGATATATGCTTCGCCAGATGATAGAAATGACATACTGACAAATCATATCAAGTGTCTTTCTAAAATTGCACATGCAATTCGTAAAAAAAGGTTGGGAAATGCCATGTTTGCTTTAGATGATGATTGGGAAGAAATCGATCAGGACTTGCAGGAGGAAACACAACAAGCTCATTATTTGATAGAAGAATTTATGATAATGACCAATAAGAAAGTAGCAGAAAGACTGTTGATGACTTACAGGGATTGTGTTCCTCTGTGCTGTCAGCCACCACCATCAAAAGAAAGCCTTGATGCATTTTTTAAAAGAAATGACCAATACTTAGACATTCTTGTAAGATTCCAAGACAAACAATTTGGACCAAAACGGTCAAGCGTTAATGATTGCCGGAATAATCAAACTTCTCATAGGGTTATGCTGTTAAAGTCAATTTGGGAAGAAATGGTTAAATCTCCAAAAATTGCAGCTGCTAAATTAATAAGAACAGACGACATACACCCTTTGCAACTTGTGATTTATCAGCATTGGTTGTCAATCCAAGAACGTGCAGGGTATAGATGTTCCGGCAGCCTTGTCAACAAAGAAGATTTTACACACTTTAGTCTAAACATGTTTGCCTATACCCATTTTACATCTCCAATAAGCAGATACAATGATTTGATCGTACAACGCCTTGTCCATGCTGCAGTATTTCAGGAGATAAGATCTCCTTACGAAAAAGAAGAAATCGACAACATTTGCAAGCATATAAATTCCGTTGCGGAACGTGCGAAAGCATATGAGAAAGGATGTAAATTATTACAACAAGCAATGGATTACAAGACAAATCCAGAGATGATTAACTGCTATGTTGATGAAGTAACTGAAAGAGGGGTGATGCTTTGCTCTCCTTTTTTGAAGTATATAGCAAGAAACTCTAGAGAACTAACTTTCAATCATCTAGACATGGTAGCCAAGCCTGAAGTTTTAGAGGACCTTAATACTCACTGTAATATGGTACAAGCAATATGGAGAAAAAGACTGTATGACTTTTATGTTCGTCCTAACTATCCATCTGATAGAGAAAATGAATTAAAGTTGAATCCTTACAAAGAAGTTGTCTTCCTCCCACTGTGTCAATGGGCAGAAATGTTAAAAAGCACCATGGAGGGTCATAAGGAAGATCTTTCCCGGGCAGTTAGAAATGCGAATGTAGTATACCATGAAGAAGGGCTGGATGATGTTTCGACGGAATGCTTTGATCCATTGAATATTCAACCCAGCACACGATTTTCTATGACATTTTCCCGTGGGCAACAACTGAAGATTCAGATGTCTGGTTCTCAAAACAAAGGTATGATTGCCCCAAAACCTATGCTTTACGATATGACAAACAATGTTAAACTCTGTTTGCAGCATATAGAGGATCCAGTCTTTCACCTTTACAGATACGCGACACGTGGGACATGTGATCAGTATAAGTCGGTTAAAGTGTATTTAGAGAGATGGCTACCATTGATGTTGATGGAATCTGCTACTAGTGTTGTAAAGAATGAAGAATCTTGCAACATCAATAATGTACAAATCAAATTTTCTGGAGATAGGAAAGGCAAATTTGCTCTTGGCTTAGCGGAATGTGAGGTCAGAAATATAGAATTATCAGGATTAGTTTCTGACGACGATGATGACGAGGAATTTGAAAACAACGGGACAAAATCCTATGATTGGCTCTGCCTTAAAACAACATTACCAGCAAGAAACACTGTCTTTAGCAAAAAATCACATGATTTCAAGCCGTTGGAATCCGTTTGGGTTGGACATGCAGAAGTTACAAGAGTAAAAAGGAAAAAAAAGAAGAGAAACGCTGGAAAGATCACTGTTTCTTTTACTTTGCACGAACGTGCACCTGAATTGCCACCTGACTTGCCCCTAGATCACCAACGTTTCAGTGTTGAAATTTTAAGGAAATCAGAAGTAGATAGGTTTGTTGCTTAACATTACAATACATGCTAGTAAAGCATTCCTCAGTAGACACGTTGATTTTATCTAATACACTATATAAACGACTTTTTGGTTCTAGAATCATTTCATTTAATGAAATCTGTTTAATATTGATGCTGTGTTGTCTTTTACACTTTGTTTAGCAATAACCTATCTCCAGTTATTCTTATTTATTTGACTAACATTTTAGAATGAACATTTATATTTTTGTCCATGATTGCTCAACTCGAAAACTTAATTTTACAGGAGAACTGAAACCTTTATTAAAATGCTTCCGTCTGTTCAAGATACACTTGCCGCAAAGATTGCACTCAACAAAAACATTCCAGATCTGGGTATGTTAGTTTTATTTATTTTTTGTAATAAAAATTCTCTTTCAAATGCTTTGAAATTATTATTATATTTCTTGAGGTTATGGTTACTACAATATCACTAATGCCGCTCTTTATAATCAACTAACACGCAATTCTGCTCTTACACGAGTTAATGGACTTGCTTTATGACAAAACCGGCTCGTTTATAATTATTACCAGTGCTCTTTATACTGTGTGGGCCAATATGTAACGCAATATAAAGTATATTTTCTTATTAACTTTGTGTTTTGTAAACTATGCTGCGCTTCAAATCACCTGCTTTCAAATGATACCAAAATCATTTGTGTAGTCATACGATTAAGGATCTTATTCACAATTACAATACCTTACACGAGGAACTTCATGTAAAATATGGCTATTAAACACTCAATTTACAGTGCTGCAATACGGGCTTACATAAAAGCTCGAGCAAAACTAGGAAAATCTGCTAGAAATGTTTATAATAATAATTGTAATAATTATGGCAACGATGGAGTATCTTATGCAACTGTCTAGGGGTAGATTAATGAATTAAAAAACGAATACGAGTCAGTTAAAGATGCCAGTAATAATGGTAGAAAACGCTCCATAGTAACTGCGAAAACATTTATTAATTCAAACTTGCTACAATTGGCCATAACTTTCTTATTTATGATCGTTTTGTCTTCACACTTGTGGGCAACAATCTTTGGGACAAGATATCGAAAAAGATTTAATTGAATATGACTTTGACTTTAATTTGACCTTGACACTTAAGGCAAATTATTGTGTTTATTTTTTGTGTTTTTTTTTTCAACAATCGGCAATAACTTTCATTATTTTTTATAATATATTTCAATAATTTGTTTTATTTATACTTGGTCAGAAACTCCTGTATGTTGAAGTAATCAAATATATTTTGACATTTTTTACATTGACCGTTGAGTCATGAAATTTACTTTTTAAATTGTCATAACTTTGCAATTTATTTAAAAATTTGATTTATACTTGGACAAAATAACGCATGTGAGGAAATCAACATTTTGAATTTCTCTGAAATGACACTGACCTATATTTCATTTTGACCGTCAAGAATACGTTTAAATTATCGTTACTTTATTTTTATTTGCAAATTTGATTCTTACTTTGACGAAAGAATATATGTGACAGAACTGGCATGTTGAATTATTCTAATATAACTTTGACCTTACTTTGTCATAAGTGTCAAGGTCAAATTATTGAAATTTGCGTGAATTGTCATAATATGCTACTTATACATGTATTATTATGGATTTATATCTATTTTGGACAAAGAGCACTGATGATGAAACTGACTTAATGATTAATTAAAATGTGACCTTAACCTCTAAATGACATTGACCGTCAAGCCAATATGAAGTTTGAATTTAATTGTTACATAAAATCATGTTTGTAGGAATACTCTTTACTAATGATGTATTTGAATTTAGAAATAAGAAAAAGTCGAATTTTACGCCACTTTGCAAGTGTAACACTAAGATTTAGACCACCAAAAATGTTCGTCGGTCATGCATTGCCAATCGATCGACAGTTGTCAAGAAAGATATGTACGTTACTTTTTTTATCAATACCCGTGGAACTGTTGTCCAATTTCCTGTTTCTAGAGGCTCTTCTGTTTCATCTATTAGTAAGTATTATCGTGTTAGGAAAACTTGAAAAACTTTTATGAAACGTCGGTTGTTTTTTTTCTGCATGACAATGCCCCTGTTCACACAGCAGCTTCTGTAATTGATTTTTTTTTTCGAGAAAAACGAGTGACTGTTCTTAAATATCTACCACATTTCCCTGTGACTTTTCAAGACCACTGAAAACAATCATCTTGCAGTTCATTGCCACAAGAATGAACTTTGATCGGCCATTTATCAGTAAATTAAATAAAAAGCTCCGAACGACAACGTTGGAACATTTATAATTTAGATTAAACGTCTGGAACTTTGTGACTATATAAGAGAAGATTATTTCGAAGGGTTGGAATAGAAAATTGTGTGATAGTTGCTCTTTCGTTAAATATATCGATCAAATTATATATTGACCATCCCTCGTATTCATGAAAATTTATTTGAAAATGTGAATCATAAGATATCGATGTTTTATCTTATTTGTAGATAAGGATCATAAACATATTGCAAGTCTTATTGAACGCGACCTGTACTACGAAGCTTGTAGTGATGACCCGACACGAAAACCTTTGCCCCAAAACAACAGGAAGCAACAGGAAGCGATAGATAGAGCTTTGATGTCACGCTTTTCTCTTATACAAGGACCACCTGGTAAATATACGCCATACATACATGTTAAATCTTCATTATGAAATGTTGCAAGTTCATACTCAACGAAATTAATAAGAATAATTAAAGAATAGTTTTTTTTCCTTAAATCTTGTATTTTACTGCTCATTGAAAGATCTTTTTCTGCTATGATTTTAAAATATGTCAATTTTTTCGTTTTGTAATTTAGGAACTGGCAAAACGTACACAGGAATCAAACTGGTATCTCTATTTAATAAAATCAATGACATTCAACATAAAGAGGGAAAACAAAGAAAACAAGTTCTTTTTTGTGGACCATCTAACAGATCAGTTGATCTTGTTGCAGGTATGTTCTGGTTGTTTGTCAGCCGAAATCAAGTTGAGATCATTTGTTAGTTTTCACCGGCTCTTTGACGTAGAATATTGAATGAAATAAGGAATGATTTTAAAAACCTTTATTGATAGATACTTATTTACTTGTATCTGTATCATATTCAAATTATATTCAACCTGCAATATTTCATTTTTCTAGAAATCAAGAGGTTTTGTAGATATTTAATTTACGTGTTAATGAAATCGAGCAAAATAACCAATAACCATTTCTATTGTTACTATTTTTTTTATAATTTACAGCAATACATAACAAAAAAGTAAGACGAAACAAAAATTCAAGCAATTAGCATACGACGATGTTTATTTTCATTTCTATACGTTAAATCTTAGTTTCTTACTTTTACCGATGCATTTTCTTATATTTGTTATCGAAGATGTACATGTGTTTAAGTAATCAAGTCCTTATTTAAGTTATATCCTATATTCTTTATAGAGTGGATGTACAATAGAATGGGTAATTATTGCCCAGACTTTGTCCGTGTTTATGGAAGGTCGATTGAAGCTTTGGACTTTCCTATCCCTGGTAGAACTTTTCTGTCAAAGAGGAGTACAAGAAATCAGAAAACATCACCTGTTTTATACCCAGTGGCCCTTCATCATTTAATTCGCCAAAAAGGAAAAAAATATGCAGAAGAGATAAACGCATATGATAAGCTTTTCAAGGCAAACAATTATATGCCGATGCCAGAAAAAGTTGCAGCGTATGTACGCATTGTCAGAGAAGCTTCAATTGATGAAATCAGGAAACATGATGTTATTCTTTGCACAACTGCTGTCGGGTCTAATCCAAAAGTGTTAAAAGCTTCAAATGTTCATCAGGTAATATAAAATTTTATTGCGATCGTAATTTAAAGTATCTTACTTTTTAAACACATTTGACTCCTAATTTATAGCAAGGGAGAAAATCATGAATGAAATTGATCGAGCTTACATACTAGATGCTGACAAAGTTTATTTCTTAATCAAATTGTTTTCCAGCAGTAGAAAGTGAATTTGACATGTTTGTACTTGACAAAGAGTTAAGTAGACATTTTACCTTATCCTTAGCTTTCAACGTTATTCAATGTCTACTTTCAAGGTTATTGTGGACGAAGCTGGTATGTGTCCAGAGCCACAGTGTTTGGTTCCAATAATAGCCACAAAAGCTGAACAGGTTGTGCTTATAGGGGACCACAAGCAACTGAGACCAATCATAATGTGCAGGGAGGCTGGTTTACTTGGGATGGAGATGTCTTTGTTTGAGCGTTATGCTGTAACAAATACAAAACATATCAACAATGTGAAGTTCACTATGTTGGAACAGCAGTATCGAATGGTAATCATTTTGAAGTTGTCATTTCTAATTATTCTGTTTGACTATTTCTCGATTAATTAATTGATTTGAATAAATATGCCAAGAAGGAAGCTTATACTAGTATTCAGCTTAACCGCTAATGTTGGTATTATTTTGATAAGTTTTGGATTATTTCTTCCTTTTGGATTTTATTTTTCCACTGTACTAATGAATCATTCGATAAATTGCAAAATTTTAATTACTTTGAAGGATAGTATGACTTTTAGACTTTTAAATTAACTTAGTTTAATTTCATATTAAAATACATAGTCTCAAAAATATTGTTTTAGACTGTGCATTGAAACTTTTTTGTTGTGCTGTGTTCCTTTTCGTACAGTTGCAGTAAAAGTATATTTTTCATAATAAAGAAAATAATTTGAAATTCAGACAATTACCTAACTGAAATGACTAAAATTGATATTGTTATATTCAGTTAAATAAGGTAATATGTCGATAATTGTCATATGTATTTTATGTTTTTTTATATTATATAGAACCCCCAGATCTGTCGTTTTCCATCAGCAAATTTTTACGACAACGCCCTGATAACAATGCCTGGTGCCTGGAGTAAAGGTAAAATTCGTATCTGGCCAAGGTGTGAAAACGAAACATACCCACACATATTTGTTCACGTTGAAGGGGAAGAAAGGGTGTTGACTGTGTCAACAGAAGAGGGAAATGAACAATCCAAGAGTAATATAGCTGAAATTGATGAAGTGGTAATGTTTATAATATTTTTAATTATTGATATTTGATACATACTTCTGATTGAAATTTTTTACGCAAGAAAAGATCTGCAAACTTTCATTGGAAAATTTATATTTATATATTCAAAAATGCATTCATATCTTAAGCTCACCTGAGCACAATAGGCCACATAAGCGCAAAGTGCACATGATGAACTAATGTGATCCCCGTCGTCCGTTGTCATCCTTTTGTAAAATATAGTTCTTCTGTGAAAGCTCAAGGCTAGAGCTTATATATTTGGCTTGAAACATCATCTTATCTATTTCTACCAAGAATGTTTAGTTAATGGGAGCCCTGTTCTGGGAACATTGGTTTTCCTTATATGTTTACATTAAAAATCTTCCTCTATGAAAGCAAAGATGTTAAAGCTTAGATATTTGTGATGAGCTATTGTCTATGTGATCTCTACAAAGAGTATTGAAATCATTGTGCTGAGGTAAAAATTGGCCCTATCTCAGGGAATTATTGATTTCCCTTTTATGTATTTAGTAATAAAATGAAATGGTCTTCTCTTAAACAATGTATCATAAGTCGTATCTTTTCTAAGATATGGATGTTAGTCATGACTAGAAAGTGACCTCTATAAATTTTGAAATCAGTCAGTCAAAGGCCGTGATCTTTTTCACTAAACCCTTGTCAAACTCAAAACTATGTAGAATCTTTAACATTTTCTTCCTTTGTTTTCTGATTTCAATCAGATGAATTTTATTTTGGTATCTGAAAGCATTATCCATCGTGAATTTGCTGTTTTCAGATTAAAGTATATTCCTACTTCACAAGAGAGCAACCAACACAGTCCGTCCAGATACTTTCCCAGTACAACGCACAAGTATCAGAAATAAAACGACGACTGAAAGAGGAAGGATATGTTGATGAGAATGTCAGTACGGTAGTTTCAAGTCAAGGTATACTCATAGACATGTTTTGTTTAACACCATAGCTAAAGCATGTTATAATCAGTATAAATCTTCAATATCTGAAAAAAAGTTGAGCACACAAGTAACGATTGTTTGTTATTTTAAATTTAAGTGTATATCATATATGTTTATTTTAAGATATATATAAATATATATTTAAAGGACATATCAGTTTGTGTATTTATTATAAAAAGTAAACGTGTACATTTATAAAATTCAGGTGTCTTATGCAGTTGTAAGATCTTTTGTATGTTAACTTTTGTTAACATTAATTAATTCTCTTTGATTTATCTATCCTTATATTTTAGGAGGGGAATGGGATTATGTGATTTTCAGTACAGTAAGATCTCTCCCTGAGTACAAGATAGAATCAAACCCTACATTAGGTTGGTGTAAACACAACCTTGGCTTTATCACTGACCAGAATCAGATAAACGTTGCACTAACTAGAGCCAGGAAGGGCCTAATTATCATAGGTAAACGTTATCATATTTACCATTTTAGCTCACCTGAGCACAGAGTGGTCAGAGGTGAGCTTTTGTAATGACAGTGTGTCCGTCGTTCGTCGTCCGTTGTTTTCCACAATTACATTTGGAATCATCTCCTCCTAAACCACAGGAAATAATTTGATGTAGTCCTCTACAAAATTTTATAAATGACCAAATGTGGTCCATAAGATGGTCACAGGAGGCATAAATAGACTTTAAAAATTAAAATTTCTTAGAAAATGCAGAACACAGAGCTTATATATTTGGGATGTTTTATAACCTTTTGGTCTTCTACAAAAATTATATTATTTATTTACCTAAGGTCAAAATTGGCATGGCCCTGAGAGTCACTTACAAAAGTCACAACAAAAGTTAAATAAATTATGCCCATGGGTCAAAAATTTCCCTGCCCTGATGGTCACTTAGTTTAATTAGAACAATACATGAACTTCTTTTTTGTGAAACTGCAATGCCATGAGCTTATATATTTGTCATTAAGCATTTTGTAGCAGTCATATTCAAATATTAAAACCATGTTCAGCTTGGATGAGTAATGAGAAACCAAATGCGACCTCATAGCTGACTTTCACATTGAAAAATTGAAATTCCGACATTCTAGAAATGTATCTCAGGTGAGCGATACAGGGCCATCATGTCTTAATTTTCTTAATGATAATTGAATCTTACATTGATTTTATGGTCAAAATTTCATCCCCAATGAAAAAAAATAAAATATTCGGTTGTTTTTCGAAAATTGGTTTAGGTGGATACCCGAAGTCAAAAATATATGTAAAAAACGGGGAAAAAAAAAACAGAAAAAAAAAAAGGCATTTTTACAGTTTAAAACCCTTAATAGCTTGTTGCATTTTAAAAAATTCAAAAGTTTGAAAATAAAATAAAATTTTTTTGGTATTTGGGAATTAATGTCTCTGTTTAATAAAACGTTTTTGGGTATTGATTAAATATTTTTTCCATGGGGAAAAAAAAACTTTTACCTTGTGACCAGTTTTTGGAGGAAGCTTATACGCCCACACGAAAAATCGGAAACCCGCGTGAAAAAACCCCAAAATAAATTTCCCACCCCGTTGTCCCCCACAGACTTCAGAGATGGGGAACAAGTTAGAAAGTGAGGGGGTTTAAACGGTGACACCAATGTACATCAAAGGGGGAGGCAACCTCTTACACCCGGCGTCTTTGATGATTGCAAGAATTCAGGGGAAAACGCCACGCCGTTTATCATTGAAAATTTGTTAGAACGATCAATTGCTAGAAATGTGCTGATATTTATTTTTCTTGTTTGGATGTTTTTACTTATTGGGCATATTCTATTTGTTTGCCATGTTATGAAAAATGAAATATTTCTCAAAAATTAATTTCATATTTGTTTTTAATATAAAAGAATGTTATGTGGCAACGTATTGAGCCATAACCATATATACATTGAATATTTTTTCTATTGCTCAATCTTTAATATTATTACTAAAAATATGATTACGGCAAGTTTAAAAATTAATTTTTTTTTACTGTTCACTGTAAATGTTGTATTATTCTTGTTATCCATTGTCAAAACTATTTCATTTTTGGTAAAACCAAAAACCCAAACATATTGATAACGTCAGTATAAATATCATACTTTTTGTTTTTCTAAACATTCGTTCTTTATTTCAATGTGTCTAGTCGCAAGCAAGTGATATTTTCTTGTAACGTTAGTTTGCACTAAAATGAAAATGTGTTTTTCTACTTTTGTTATATACATATTTATCTTTCTTTGCCTTTTTATTTCATTGTTTATTTTGCCAGATTTTAAAGAATTTTAATTTTGTATGAATAAAATGTTTGCAAGATTATCGATTGTGCCATAAATTCGATCCCATTTTCATCTTTGACTCTCAAGGAATTTCATTTGTTAATTAAATCAACCATTGCTTAAAGGGTTTCTTAAACATACTTTAAAGTCTGCAATTTTCAACTACAATT